GGCCTTCTTGGCCACGAGGGCACACTGCTCACTCATGGTTAACTTGGTGTCAACCAAGACTCCCAGGTCTCTCTCCGTGGAGCTGCTTTCTAGCAGGTCCACCCCTAGTCTGTACTGGTGCCTGGGGTTATTCCTCCCTAGGTGCAGGACCCTACACTTGTCCTTATTGAACCTCATGAGGTTCCTCTCTGCCCAACTCACGCTTTGATTTTGGAAGGATAGATTTACTGAGAACTTTTGGAGAAATGTGTTTGCTTTAATCAAGAAGATAAAGCTACAGGGGAAAAAAAAAGTTTATTTATTTAGGTGTTTTTACTTCATGCATAGGAAACTTTCATGCAGGATTCAATTTGAGGAACTGTATCAAACTGCAATATTAGAGTATGCTTTCACTGTTCTCTCCAGTAGTTCCAAGTTCATGTTCCAGCCAAAGGGCCAGTCCTACTCATCGTTTGCTTCTAATTTATCTCCCTCAGCTCTTCTTTCCTACCATCAACTGTAATGTATTCTCAGTATCTTTTAAAAAAGGCAAAAAACACACAATGAAACTCTCCAAAGAAACAAAAAGAAAGTAAGAAAAACAAAAAAAGAACCTGCACCCAAAACCCCAAGGGTCAAGTTGAAAAATAGTGATAAAAAAGAAAAACTTTATAAGATGTTATCCACATCTTATTGTGAAATTGAATAAATAAATGGTATAAATAAAAATGACAGTTACAGCTAAAGAAATCCAAATGTTTTTACATTAAAAAAACAAAACAGGTAAGATATGTACATGAGCTTGCTCTGCAACAACCTAGAATAATCAACACGAATTTATGTTTAAGCCAGTTCAGGGTTGTCATCCCAGACCTGTCCACACTTCCTTTTAAAGATGCACTTAGCTACTTTCATCTTCTTTCACCTTATAATAGCCTTTTTGAGTTAAAGTTGTAAACTTTGGGCCTAAAAACACAGACACGGTAGTGCTAGACATCTGTGAAAACACCTAAAAACTGTGTCTGAGTGAGACTCAGAATTGTCTGACCATATCTGAAGATAAACAGAATTAAATATGTTGTGATTTTTGTGAATAATTGTCTTAATTAAATGCCCTAAAAAGAAAATACTGCCATACTCAGTCACTTGGTAGCCTCAACATTTTGCTCCTAAAGAAAGGAGCCCCTCGACCTGGTGGTCATCTCTCCTCGAGCAAAGTTTTTCTGTGCTTGCCAGCCTCCAAACCAGGGCAAATGATGGCACTGGTGCTTTGTCAGCAGACATTTCTCATGTGCAATTCAAGTATCTCTTCATCATCAGTGATTACTTCCTGCTTCATCTGTACATTGTGATGCAAACAAGAAAAAGGAAAAAAAAATCTTATTACCTTTTCCTTTATAATCATATCATATTATAGGGTAATATTGCTTTTCAGCCTATGTATAGGGAGAACAGGCTTATGGATGACCATAGGATGAGCCTAAATTCATGTTGATTTCATGTTTGTGCATTTTACAAATTACAAATTCTATTTGATCAGTTTTGTTCAACATAGAGCACTAGTTTAGAGATTAATCCTCATATAGTACTGCCAGGATTTTTGGTCAAGAAAAAGTTTGAATCACGTTTGCCATCTGCATGAGGCACAGAGTTCTACTTAGCCACCTTAAAATTAAGAAAATTGTTGCTGCAAACAAATGCAGAGGTGAAGTAGTATCTTATTTTTACTTTTACAGCTATTGTATGTATCTTATGCTACTTTTTTTTTTAGTATTTCTCTCTCACTGAACATCTAACAGATTCTAATTAAAAATTAACCTTTGCATTAGTGAACACTGGCTAACACACAGAGCAGAGCAGCCCTGAGACTTTTTTTTTCTAAAAATTCCAAAATTTTCAGAATATCGGAATTATCTCAGAATAAAAAGAAATTCCCTAAATCTGCAAAGCTGAATATATTTTTTATTATTTCATCATGCCTTCATGAAATCATTTCCTTTTCTTTTTTCTATTAGGTCCTGTGAAGATCTGTTTCGCTTTCACATATTGTGCATCACATTTAAAAAAAAGAAAAGCTTCCCAATGACGTCTTTAAGTAATCACATAAGTAATCACATATATTTATGAACAGGAAGTAAAGCAGCTATTCTAAGCATAGATTTATTAGTTTTGAAATTTGAAAAGAAGCTGTGCAGAGAGTGGCTGACCATGCAGGGACCCTCTTGGAGCAGCCCCACCACGGAGGCAGGTGGCCTCCAGTTGTAGCGGGGTCTGCCAAGAGGCTGAAGGACCAAAGTTCTTCCCCTCATGACAGTAGACCACAACAAATCATGCCCATTTCAACCAGATGTAAAGCAGGTTAGAATCCTATTGCAGGTTTAGTGCTAATGATGCAGTCTTAGTAATTTGAGAGCTTCAGGACAGTTTTCAAAAAAGGCTCATGATCGGTCTTTTAAAAGTACTGAGCCCGATACAAAGTCCAAAGGATCTTTGTTGGCAATTTCCTAAGACACACAGAAAGATTGTCTCATGACTGTCAAATGGAAATCAATAGGAATTGGACTTTTAACTGGTATTGCAATATCTGTAAGTGACAGAATAAACTTCTAGACATCAAAATAGATTTGAAAATATCTCCATGAAGATAGAATTGTTTGTTTGTTTTTCATTTGCTGCATCATATGCCAATTATATCTCAAATTACACAGCTCAGGTTGCAGAGCTATCCAAGTCCCTTTGCTCTGTAACAACTAGAATGGTTAAGAACTAGAACAAACATTTTTCTTTTTTTTTTTTTTTTTTTTGCATAGAATGTATTTTGCATGTATTTATATATATATTCTTAATAATGATACGTAAATTATATTTTTGAAATTTTTAAAATTTGTTTTGAAATCTGATTTTCAAATTGCATATGACAAGTATTCATACTGAACTACAGTTCATATTTATCCTTAAAGATAACGATTTATCTTTCTTCAAAATACAGTATGTCACAGAAAAACGTTGTATAACGGAGACGGTGGTGCGTTACATTTCTCTGTGAACTATTTTATTGTTGGAAATATTTTTTTATCTTTTGTAGACAAAATTAATCTCTATTCTGCAGTAATAAAATAGAATTGACACAAAAAATACTTTGTAAAAGAGTATGTACATATATAGTTTAATGTACAGTGCTTTCTGGATAAAGTAAATAAAATCATTCTTCTTTCAAGAATATTCCAAAAACTACTACAGGTCCTACTGACCTGTCCTTCCAGTGTTTTGTGGAAAAGTGTTTGAAAACTGCTCATTTTTAAGTGCTGTTTAGTATTATATGTATGCACAGAAAGTGTGCAACTAACTCTGAAATGCCAGAGTACCACCCCTGGCTAGTGCATTAGCAATACAGATCATTTTATATTTTACTTGAATATTGATAATATAAACTTGATATGAAATGCTAAAAAAAAAAAAAAAAAAGCTTAAAAATTCACAAAAGGAACTAGAGACCCAAGCAATAGCACAAAAATCTGAATGCAAAATCCAAGCAATAAAAATGTTTTAAACTAGCAGCTTTTGGCATATTTGCTTCAGTGGCAGATCTGAAAACACCTATCTCTATTTTAATGCCTCTCCAAAAGCAAATTCCACATTGACCAGCGTTCCTGGGGCAGGGGGAGCCCTGGCACACTTAGCAGTGCCTGTGTCACAGCCCCCCGTACTTGCTCGGCCACAGGAGCCCGAGCTGCCCTGCGTCCCATTCCCGGTGCTCCCGCGCAGAGCGTCGGGGAGGCGCTCAGCGACACTGCTTACCCAGCAGGAGCTCCGAGCCCCGTCCTGCAAGACGCTGAGTAATCCCGGCGGTGCTGATCACTCCTTTTTGTTTTTTTGCAGTCAGACGTGGGAGATGCCGGGCACCGGGATGGGCTCCCTGCACGAGTGTGGTGGTCGCATAGCATTTTCATAGGGAGAGCAGCAGGCTGTGTTCGCCGGCTCGGCTGCACAGCACACGCTCCCATGCTTGCTCGTGCATCCCAAGGAGTGCACTGTCTCTGCTGCAGGACGAAGGGGCCAGGTGCTGAGCACAGCCACGAGCGCACTCTGACTCCTCCAAGTCTCCCGTGCTTGTGCTTGTGCCATCCAGAATTAGGCCAGAAGTGAGCCGTGCAGCTCTTCATGCTGCTACCTGCAGTTCTGAGCAGCCCAGAGGGGTTTCTGTGGCCCCAGGTATGTGCTGCATGCAGCTTCCTCTCCACCAGGTAGCAGATGGAAGGAGATGGGAAGGAGAAAGTAACACCACTAGCAGACTTCACTTTTGATGAAAGCAAAAAGTCACCTTCCTCTGCCTCTGATATTCATGGGGCCTAATGAATAAAATGCTGCCTTTTGCCCAAATTAAAACGCTACCTTTTCAATGGCAACATGCTCTGCTCTGAGGATGATAGCTCTGTGAAAAGTGTATGTAGACCTGACTTATTGCCTGAAAGCAAACAAAATGGACATGCATTTCCATCTCAACTAATAATGTCTTAAAGCCCATATTCTTTACAATAATATTCATTAAGCGCTTCTATTATACTCGGTGTAAGGAGAAAACTGGCAATTGAATTCCAAGCAATGATAAGTTACCATTTTAATGATTCCTTATGTTGTGAGTAATTTATAACGCGCTCAGAATCTTCCCAGCAAAGCTTGCCTTCTGTTTTTAAAATGTCCTCTTTCATATCCCACAAAGGGTTTCAGTGCAATAAGCATTAAGGTGTGTCTCTCTGCTTTTACCTCGGAGCAATAATGATGTTGTCAAGCGCTTTAGGTGAGACCAGCCCAGGTTTTTTGGGTGGGGAAAGACACTCTGTTATACATCATCTTCAGTCCTTCTCTCAGAGCGAGACAGAGACACCTCGAAAGGCTGAGTATAAGGACATCTACTGAAAGTCTTTTTAAATCGACACCAGTGCTGGGGGGTGGGGGGGAGGGCCGAGGAACAGACTTGTGATCGTAACTCAGTTGGACCTGTATCTAAGAAATCAGATGCAATGGATTGGCTCCCTCACCGAACAACTGCTGTTCTGTTCCTTTTATTGGTAAGTCTGATTTTAATGCTAATTTTTACTGAGTTTATGTCAGTTGAATCCTTCTCAGAAGACCGCTGTATTTTAGTGTAAACCAGTCCTACTAAAATCCGTGTGAAAATAATCATAAGAAATAAAGCTATAGTTATTTTACATTGTATTTCTGAAGATTCTATGCAAAGACTTTAGGTTTTCATTGAATGTTGGTAATTGTTTCAATTATAATATTCTGAAATATTTTGATCAACATATGGCTTTTTATGTTTAAGGCATGACTTTAATACTTGACTTTCAGGGAAATGTTGTCTATGTACTTCACTTAATGAGTTATTTTAGTAAAAGTAGTAGATAACAAACTAATGTTATCATTTATAAAAACTTAAAAACTAGTTGGATATAATTTGATTCTTTGACTTTATTATTTTGTTCCAATATAAGGAAGATGAAATATATTTTTCTAAAACATATTTAGTAAGAGTGTCCCTGGGTTGACCAAATTTTTTGACTGAGCTTTATTTAAGAGAAAAACATAAAATTTGGCGAAGATTTCATCTGAGTAAAAATTGGAAGTTGGCACATTATTTCCCATTATAAAGAATTCTCATCTCATTGTGTATTAGTGTCTGAGCTGACATGTATTAAGGATGTGAAAACTTCAAAAGTGCAAATGAAAGTGTTATTCTTTGAGTCTGTTCTACTCAGTCTAAAAGGGGAAGTTGTCTACGGTCAAGCAGGATAGTTGTGCAATGTGTTCATCTGTGCTGGGGAATTACCAGAATGGATATAGAAGAACTAGGGAGGCCCTTGTACGGTTGCATTCTGTTTCATGAGTGGATTATTTTTGCTAATCTGTGCTGCTCCTCTCAAATCACATGGAGGTTTGAGGCCATGAAGACTGAAACAAGTAGAATTTATATTATAGCTTTTGATTTACACAGAATGTTAGGTATAAATGTTTGTTAACTTCTTGTCTCTAGCAGTGTTTGTAGTCAGAAAGTTTGTTGTTATAGAATATGAAATCCTGAGATTTATTTTCAAGAATAATGTAAGAACTTAGGTTACAGTTTTGCTGTCAGCAAAGCAGAACTAGCCAACATAGGGCAGCTGCCAGACAAATAATGATAAAACTTGGCAAAAGCAAGGTATGGTTTGGATAAGTTTCTGCTTGTTTAATGCAACACATTGGGTTCCATCGAGATTGGCATGTTGTGCGTCACACTAACTGTACTGGATTTTTATATAACATTATTGACTACCAGTTTATTCAGTTACCTGGTGATGCATACTCCTGTTGTTCTGAAAGTCAGAATAAATTAACTTGTACTGTATTGAAGATCTGTCCTTTCAAAGGAAATTTTAGTGCTTAATCTTCACTTGTCAACACTGGAGCAATTCTCATTAAGTTTATTATTGTTACAATTGTGACTGATTCAGAATGTATGTTTGGTCAGGAAAAAAAGAGAAGTATTAAAAACTGCAATTATATTTTGATGAATATCTTTTTTTTTAACTTTTACTGGATAGAAGAGTGGAATCTTTTTCTTCTATTGTTTTCTTTTTTCTGCATAAATGTGTTCATGGTGGCTTGCACAGTTGCATAACATGTTTTAGAAAAAGATAATGAACAAAGTATAGAGATTAAATACACTAAATTATATTGCATTCTGCAGAACAGTCTTAACTTTAGACTTAACTGTTCCTTCATAAAAATCACCTGCCTGCTGTGTCTTCTTAGTATTTTGCCAATAAGCTGTATGAAAGAAAATTGCTATATTGCTATATTTTGGTTCACTTTCCGAAAATCTTAGTCTTAATCTAACAGATTGCACTCTGAAACTACTAATTTTCTATATGTATTTCACCATTGGTGGAACTGATTCTGCAATCCTCACCCACGTGACTTCAAAGGTGTTATTCTCATGAGTAAGAGAGTTCTGTTTGTGACACTTGCACAGACATGTTTTATAGAAATAACCTGTTTGTTCAGGTATGACTCTTCTCCTGCCAGCTATCATGTGACAGTTAATAATTCTGAATTCACCACATCTCTTATATACACTTTTGTCTGGCTACTTTTTCCCATGCGTTATCTACACTTTTTTTTTCCTTCCTGTTGCTAGGCTATGGTTACACCTCCTACTCATAATTTTGTTGGGCAGAAAAATATAAATCCTTGCCTTGCATATGCATGTGAAACATCTGCCAGAACGTAGCCAGGAAACTGCATGGTCTTCTGCAAAGGGAGAGTTTAGCTTTAGGAACAGAAACTGAGGCAGGAACAGAAACTGAGGTAATTCATTATCAGTCCAAATCAGGTTAAGTCTGTAGTTATATCCCTAAATAAAAAATAGCCTAAACAAATGTTGCAGCAAGAGCATTCTAAGTCATGTTAGATTTTTTTTTTAAGGACATAGAATGACTAACTTGACACAGTCCTATTTGGATAACAATGATTTATGTATTAAAATTACTTTCCTGATCATTTTTAATGGTTAAGCTCTATTATTACACTGAAATTCATCACACCTGTATGAAGTATCCCATGATATTTCGTTCAGCAGAGCAGAAACAACTGCAGAGAAAGCTTTTCCCAACGAGTCAGTTATTTTAACAAACATACTTTAAAATACATAAAACTGAAATTTGAATTTATTCTTCTAACTGACATGAGTATAGTATCTTTCATTTACTTCTATGGAAATAGCAATAGGTTCTCCATCTTAGGGACAGTACAAAATATTGATCCTGCAATATGAGAAGCCAGAAACACCTAACTTTTGCAGAGATAGCAAACAAATAGCAAAATCATGCTGCATAATTTCCCTTTAAAATTGAAAGAAACACTTTCATTAATGGAATGCAAAAAAAAAATGACAAGCACAAGTAAAAATGTATTCTTGTTTTGATTTTAAAATTACCAAATGGCTTCATTTTAAAATGTGAGGTTGTTTCTTATGTTTCATCCCTGCTTCTCATTACTTCACATGCACTAATTTATCATTTTTTAATGAGGTGCAGAATACATAAAGGGAAGGGTTCATTATTTCAACCCTTTACTAGTCAGAGTGTGGCTGAGTAAGACATGCAGGTCCCAAACTGCTGACACAACCAGAGCTACCAGGATGACTAACATATGTGTGAGTTCTCATCCCTCCTCCCATCAAGGTCAATAACAATACTGCTGTTGACTTCAAAGAAAAAGAATCAGATGCAATATGAATAATGCTGGGAAGATGTTAAAGGCGTGTTCAGTCATTTAGATATGAGTAGGTGGAGGAGGGAGGATGCCATAATTGCATATAATATTGCTTGGTAGTCAATTAATGATTAGTTAATTCTTGTTTGCAAATTGCTTTGAAGATGTAAAGAACCATACACATCCTATGGGCCTAATTCCCACTTACATCAGAAAAAATCCAGAGTCCCTCTAGTGTGACGTCAAGATTTCATGTCATGCATAGGATTCAGACTCTGCGTCATTACAAAAATTTGCAAGTTTTCAGATAGACTACTGTGAGAATGACAGTCATGACAAATGTTTTCCATCTGTACCTCTCCCAAATGCTACCAGAAAGAGTGGGAACAGATGTCTCAATGTGTCTCAGTGTGTCTCGATTCCACTTTTTTTTCCCAACAGCAAGACTTGATGTCATCCTAATCAACCTGCCTACCTCAGGATCCTAAGGGTGCATCCAACATTTCCAACTTCTGTTGTTTTAACTATATTTAATCACTGATTCTATGGAGGATACTAGCTCAGACACTAGTTTGTAAAGAAAAATTGTACATTATCTTCAAATGTGCCAGAATTAGCTGCTAGATTGATGGTAAAATGTTCTTCTCCACTGGAATTACTTCTAGAAATACAAAGTTTGCAGGATAGTAAGATATTTGAAATTCACAGCTGGAGGGAGAGGAGAGGACTGTTTGTCTTCTGTTGATGTTAGAGAAAAAATGGAAAGAATTAGTTGGGATAATAGAGGAAACTATATCCTTGGCCATGTTAGACTGATGTCTCTCCATAGGACTGATGAACCCGATGGCCTCTTCTGGTGTTTGTCAGCAGAAAATTATTTTCTCTTCTGATGTTTGTCAGCAGAAAATTATTCTCTATAATACCACAATAATTGAGATAGACCTACTGACATGACTGCAGTCATGAAAATCAACAGATTGACTTTCTCCAGCAGGATCACAAATAGCACTGAGCATCAAAATTTCTTTGAAGATCTTCCATCAACAACATGTAGCAGGAGGGTTTTTTCTTAGCTGGTAGGGGACAAATGTATAAATAATTGGTCTTAATTTATGATTCCCAGCAACACATCAGAACAAATTTCTAGCATTTCCATTAATGGGGTCAATACAGAATTAATATCCTTCATTGTCTGAAAGCAGAGTTCCCAAGCAGCCATCAGTAAATCAAGTTCTTTGATGAATATTCCTATGATAAATCAAGAATTCTTTATAGGTGTAATAGTTATTTCACAGGAGTACTACTATATCCTCAACACAGTAGAGTATTTCTGCTATGAAGGTTAACTGTAAGAGTGACATGGCAGGAAGTGAGCTATTAGTTTCCCTGTTAAATTTTAGCAAGGGCTGTAAGATGCAGATAGTATGTAAGATTTACTAACATTGCATTAAGAGTGGTATGCCATACTCCTCTTGGTCAACACAATTGCTAGCATGCCCGAAGGGTTTTAAGGGTGGAGAAGATTTCATTGTACTTACCCAAGGAGGCTCTGCTGGTGGAATAAACTGATAAAAGATGCTGAATCAATACAACTTTGTGTTGGCTTTGTCACTTAGGCTCCCTCACAAGAGAGTAATCTGCACATTCTACTCTCCTCTGTTTCTCCTCTCTCCAACGTGGATCACAAAAGGCAAGGCCTGGAGTCCTACTGAGGTGAAATCACACTCCATTTAACGTGGAGTCTGATATTGCAGAGATCATGACTGCACATGAGCTTGAACCTCATTCTACACCTGAAGGTGTACATAGTCACCAACATGTACACTCTAGTTAAAAGCCATAATGATGCTTTTAGCATAAACTGAACATATCTGTTTTCTGTCTAAAGACGTAAGTCTTTGAGTTGGTAACAATTTTCCTGATTTATGTCTTTATGTCAGTAATTTCCTCAAAGAAACAAACAAAAACAACAAAAGTTATTAGATAAATAGTTCTATACCTTTCAAGACACTACCTACGCTCAAGATACTACATCCACAGTCTGAACTCCCTCATTCACTAGTCAATTAGAGCAGTATTTACTGACTGGGATTTCAGTGAATTTTGAGGGGAGAAAGAACAGATCAGTGGTTTTGTAAATGACAGATAGTGGATACGATAAGGCAAGGAATTTAACAGGAGTAAGGGAGGAAAAGAAAAGGAGAGTTGAAGCTATTGTTCCTTAATCTGGTATGGAAAGTGATTGTTTTAACCTGAAGTGAAGAAGCTCCATTCTTGTAATAAAATTAGAAGTGTGGAAGGTCTGATAACTTGTCACAGGAAAAAAAAAATGTCAAATGAATTTATTCATATAAGATTTATGTAAAACCTATGAGATAAAATGTGTCAGATAAATCAGCATAAGTCACTGAGCACTGCAACATTTATTTTTTCTAAGCCTTTTCTTGCACAGTTAGACCTCAAAACAAAGACCACTAAACTTCAAGAACTTCAAGAAAATGTGTCTACTGGCTGCAGTTGGCTTTTCATCATACACTTAATTTCTTTAACCTTAGTGAGAAGTTACAGGAGAAAAAAATGTTTTTATTCCTTTTGCTTAAGGCATCTATTGAAGTATTTTGAAATACTCTCATTTACCTTTCTACATAAGTGCCTAAAAAGTAAATACTTCTTATTTAGTTTGTTAGTGGTGTCTTTCTTTTAACAAAATCTGCAGTGACTTCTCCCTGCTACTGAATCAGATGAGATTCTACAACCTAAAAATTTATGTGAAAGATGTATTTTATGTAGATATAACACTAAATTTGCACATGCTTTCAAAATCAAGGTGCCTTGAAAGACAGAATTAATTTTAAGGTACCTAACTTTCAGGCATTTAAACAGTGATGGACATAGGGGAAGAAATAGCGCAACATTATTTATGGAAATCCTTAAACTACAGTCTAGTTAGTCTGTTGCAATGAACTTGAGGAAAAAATGCTGCTCCAGTCTTGCAATATAGCAATGTGTTCCAGCTAGGTTTAACTTAATGTATTTTATCTTGCATTTTTATATGCCATTATCTTATTTTTCTTTCAGTTACTCTTGGATTTCAGCACAGGATTTCATGTACAGGTAATAAAAAATTATTTGGTAATTAATTTTATGAAATAATGAAATGTAGCCATATAGAAATGAACTGGGAAATATTAATCAAAGATATTTTTAACTTAATGATTAAATATATATTTAAATATTAAATAATTGCATAATAAAATATTAAAATATTTGCATAACCTGCTCATCGTCTCAATAAAAGTTCTCCAGAATTTCAAAAAATATCCAATACTCAGGAATAATTTTAAAATATATATGTATCATCTCAGGCTTGGAACTGAGACTCATAGAAAACAAACAAACAAATAAAAATGGTCTATAAAAACCTCTCCAATTTCTTAATGTTGGAAATTCTAAATATCTGTATACATTTTAAATATATCGAGGTTGCTGGTCATAGTGACACTGACGTTCTGTGTCAAAGGTAAAAGAATGGGATGAAAATGGAGCAGCAAGATGGAAAACATTCAGAAGACAAAAACGTGAATGGATCAAATTTGCTGCAGCTTGCAGAGAAGGAGAAGATAATTCTAAGAGGAATCCAATTGCCAGAGTAAGTAGAAAGCAAAGTAGAATTATTGTTTGCCAATAAGGAAGTAAGACAGGCTGATAAAACAAGAGAAACTTCAGAATATATTTACTTGGAGCCATCAAATAAGGAATGTAGAAAAGAAAAAAAGATACAATATTTCCAACTCAGCTGAGACACTGATGGATGTATGCAGCAGCTGAGGAATGACCAAAGGCTCCCTAAAATCTTCAGATCTGGAAATATGCAACACCTAATCTGCTTATGTGTAGACACTGCATATTAATTCTTTGTTTTTTAATTTTCTCTTTCATTTTGAGAAACTCTTGAACAGAAGTTCCAGGACAATGCTTTAGTCCTGTGGGGACATGGCACAGGATGTCCTCCTAACCTTTCCCCTTATTCTTACAGAGGCCCAGTCACAGTGTCAAATTCTTAGAAGTTTCTCTTCCATAACATCTCCACTTCATTGCCAGAAGACTTGAGAGAAATATTCAAGGGGGAATATCACAATAAATCTACTGGTTTGTGGCACAGCCAGATAAGGTTATTGCTTCTGCAGCCAATATTTAACAGTTGGAAGACAAACTGAAAATTATATAGAAAACCTTAAGGGCAATAATAAGAAAAAAATAAGAGAGGGGGGAAAAAAAAATTACGGATGTTCCAAGTGAGCTGGCATAAAATATTGCTATCTGTTATTGTAGATCCGTTCAGATTGTGAAGAAAATAATCCAATCACATACAGCATTTCTGGAGCTGGGATAGATCGTGCCCCATATGGAATATTTGTTGTTAACCCAAGAACAGGAGAAATTAACATAACCTCTATAGTGGACAGGGAAATGACTCCAGTATTTGTTGTAAGTATTATAAATATATATTTTTTTTTTCCTTTATATTTATGACTGCAAGAAGCAGGGCAGGGCATGGGAGCAGAAATAGACAAATGATTCATTTGCTTCAAAAATCTTGCCTTGTTTCTTTCATTTTTTGGTTTTAAAATTAGTAACTCTCTTTATCTAGATACGTTGCTTTGCTAAGCACTCAGTGACGGGTGTAGATTTGGAACCACCTCTTGAACTTCGAGTCAGAGTTTTGGATATAAATGATAACCCTCCTATATTTGCACAAACTGTATTTACAGGATCTATTGAAGAATGTAGTATGGACAGTAAGTAATTATTTTATGCCTTTTAGAGTGTGGTATGGTGAGCGGGGCTGCCAGAATATTTAGCATAAACCAAGAGTGTTTGTTCTACTTCCTCTTAGCCAAGGATATATGTTTCCCTTAGCTACTGCAGAAGGAGAGATATGTTTCTCAGACTGCCATTGGAGCAGGCTTGCTACCTAAAATTAAGCAGTGGTGCATTTTCACCTTTTCTCACACAAATGAATTCCTAAAGTTCCAGTTCATAATCCCGTCATATAAATTCCTTTAAATGTGAAAACTTAAACTGTTTCATGTCTTCTTGTTAACTTTTTTCCTGTGATGATATATAAAATGTTTTTTCCCATTTTTCTTAATTTAAATATTTGCATTTGTAATGTGAAAACTGTGATTATAATAGAATATTACTAAATAAACTCTTACTTAAACCACTAAAGTGCTTCTTAGCAGCATTGCAATCTGCACTATGTGTGTAAGTAGATGGAGGGGATTCTATTTATGTCCCAAATACAGAGAACTACTTGACATATTGCTGCAAAATCATCCTGCCCTGCACACACACAAAAGCAAGTGGTGCCCTTACACCCCTGCCTTGCCAAAATCCCCACCTAGTACTGCAAAGATTTATGTATCTACGGATGCAGAACATAATGTTCTGTATAGCCCTATCATGACTTGAAAAGGTTCAGGAAAAATCCTTATTACTACACCTGAGCTTAATTTGTAATGCATTTTGAAGTCATTAAAGTTCAGTAATAATGATCAGTACAAACATAACTTGTTCTTATTTTTCTTGTAAATATTACTGAAAAGACAGAATCCTGTCATTTTCATGTTCCAGGAATTTATTATTGTCTTGGAGAGTCATTTACAGAGACAAAAGAGATTTTCTGATTTTCTTTTATTATTATTATTATTCTTAGACACATTGGTGATGAAAATAATTGCAACAGATGCAGATGAACCTAATCACTTGAATTCCAAAATTGCCTTCAAGATAGAGAGTCAGGAACCTTCAGGTCCACCGATGTTCATTATGAACAAATACACTGGAGAACTTCATCTAGCAAATTATCTTGACAGAGAGGTAAGTTTTCTTCTTTCAAAATAATTTTTTTGACAAAAATAAAATAGAAAGAATGAAGTATTTTTATTTCTTTTTTTTTTAAAATGATTTTTTGTTTTTATATGTTGTAATAAAATGTCCCAGGGAAATGAATGAACTTGGTAATAATAGTAAGACATAACTAAGAATTAAGAATTTCTAAGACATACAGATCACTATAGGACACTAATTTCTCTTTCTGTGTTAGCAACATAGTAGCTACACTCTTGTTGTGAAGGCGTCAGACCGGGATGGAGCTGCAGATGGAATTTCATCTCTTTGTAGCTGTAATGTTAAAGTTATTGACGTCAATGACAACTTCCCAACTCTTGCTCAAAGCTCAGTAAGTTTTTCATATCAAAATGGATATCTTTGTTTTAAAATCTTGTTGAAAAATCCAGTAAATAACAAAGTCCTTACTAACCTGTTACAGTAAATTCTCATTTAGATGTTCCACTGAATTACAGGGATTGTTTCCTTGAAGTGTGCTCAGAATCATATCTATATTTTGCACACACAATTTAGATAACAAACACTCCAATTATTTTTGTATTCAGACAGAGAATTCAAATAATCACTCATGTATCCTTGTGCAGTGAAGCCCATTTATGAAGATTGACTCATCTTTATTCATTTTTTTCTTACTGAATGCCCAAATATAATTCCTCTAAGCTATGTCGACAAATATATTAGGCAAAACAGCTCTTCACATCAACAAGAACCACAATTCTCACAGAATACAGTTATTCTTAAATTGGTATTGGCTGTGAATAGGATGCCATTCAAAAGAATCCTTGCAGTTAGCTGTGTTTTCTTGACCTTTTGTGTTCTACTCTTCATTAAGATGAATTCTTCTGTCATTCCAGTTTTCAGCAAGTATTTCAGAAAATTCACTTAGTTCGGAACTACTACGAATACAAGCTCTAGATGCTGATGAAGAGTTCACAGATAACTGGCTAGCAGAGTTTTTCTTTATATCTGGTAATGAAGATAACTGCTTTGAAATTGTTACAGATCCAACTACAAATCAAGGAATCCTTAGAGTAATTAAGGTATGAATAAATATTGTGATTCTGCTCTTTATTATATAATTACCTTAGAATAATTTAAATCATTAAAATCATTTTTTTTAAAAACAGCATATATAATAAAATTTCAGTCCAGGATCTTTATTTAGTATTTTGTATTTGTTTGTGTTTAATCTTTTAGGAACTGAATTATGAACACATCCAAAGTCACACACTGAGTATTGGTGTCAGAAACCGAGCTGCCTTCCACCATTCTATTGCATCTCAATATCAAGCTATTGGAGTACCTCTCATAGTAGAAGTAAAAAATGTGATTGAACCACCAATTTTTCATCCATCTACAATCAGTTTTACTTTATCAGAAAGTACAAGACAGAGTCATGTTGTTGGAACATACACAGCCTTTGATGAAGACACTGGGACTATGGCATCAAATGTCATGTAAGGTTTTAATGTAATGCTTTATCTGCTTAACACCCCAGATTTAACAATGCTTTTAACTCAAAATTCAGTCAGAGGAGAAGAAAAGGCATTCTATAATCCAGACAAGGAAGTAGAATATGATGGTATGGAGGATACATTAAAAAATATAGAAGATTGCTAATAAAAAAGCAATAGTACAGAATAAGAAAAATATTGCAAATGGACAATTATTACCTACAAAATGAGTAGGCAGTAGAATGCTATAGCATATAGAGTCAATGTTAACTGGACTAATTTATTCCATGGAAGTAATTGGGACTGCATGATTTCAGCTGTTTCATATTAATAATTCTGAGCATTTCTTCAACAAATACAGATATAGTATAGGACGTGATCCGGGTGCCTGGTTCAAGATCAATCCAAACACTGGTGAAATCACACTGAATAAAGTTATTGATCGGGAATCATCCTATGTAGTCAATGGGGAATACAGAGCAGAAGTCTGGGCTATTAACCAAGGTAATAAAGTTATTTCTTAAATAAAAGGTAAGAGAAGTATTAACTTTTTCCAGAACAAGCTCTCTTATTTCATATTTCTCTATATCCTTTCCTCTTTTCCAATTTTACTACCTGAACAGCATTGTTCAGATTATCCTTTTGCCTACTGATTACAAGAACCTTCTTTTTACAGGTTTTCCTCGACATACTGCTACTGGTACCGTTGTGCTTTTAGTACAAGATGTCAACGATAATTGTCCAACTACTAATACAGAAACAAAGAAAGTATGTATGCATTCTCCATCAGTGGTTATCACTGCCAAGGATATGGATAGTGCTCAGTATGGTCCTCCCTTTACATTCAGCATACATGGTGAACCTCAAACTACATGGATTATCAGATCAATAAATGGTAAATTAAACTAAGTTTTATAACAGCGTAAATCATAGAAGTGAACTGTTATAATAATATAATCAATTAAGGATTATCTAAAATAATAACACAAATACCAAAAAAAGTAGTTACTAGTATCTAAACTAATCTTACTTATATATGATTTTGTACTCATAAGAACCCACGGAATAAAACGGATTTTTTGGGGGGGATTTATACTTATATACTAATCATACTAAAATAATTAGATATGCTGGTAAGACAGAGGAGTAAAACTTCACTGGAGTGTAACTACCCTTGGTCTAAAGCTAATGATGTAATTCAAAAGGAATAATTATATTTTTGTTTTCTTTCTGCATATACTAAAAAAATTCTAAGTTTGTGACAAGACTCTCAGATTTATTTATTAGAGTAAAAATATTATAAATTTCTAGTCTGAAGAGCTTTCCTTTTTAGAGAAAATAATATAAAAATGTCAAATAAGGGTTACAGTGTTTATAATTCATGTATTAGCTTGTAGTTATAAGAAAAAAAAAAGGTTTAGCCTTTGCCTAGTGGAGTTTTTCTGATTCACTTTGATAAGACTTAATTAACTAAATGAAATAATCAAATCTCATACATTAATAAGTGTCAGAAGTTGCATAAGTTACTGTATGCATAGTAGAAAATTACATGTTAATTATTGCAATTTTAATTACTTTTGCAAGTCCTACCTGTTCTAAGCAGAGGCAAATATATAATTTCAAATAATTTTACAGTTTCAAAAAAAAAAGAAAAAAATCCTAAGCTTGTAATTATGTGGCAAGCATAGTTACCATGTAACCTCCCTGTGAGAGAAAAGGAAATGTAAGGAAATAATATGCAATATCTGTGTACCCCATTGTGGAAATAAAAATCAAGATATGTTGCTATAGATTAAAAAAAAAGATGCATTTGCCCCTTTATATTTCTCAGGTATAAAACCTGATGACTAAACTGATGACTAAACTTATTTGGCTCAAGCTATCCAAAACAAGCAAGCAAACAAACAAACAAACATACAAGAAAGCAGCATAGACTATAAATTTCAGCTTTATCGCTTAAACATTGTTTAGCAATTGAGGATCTTTAAATAAGAAAACTTACTCTTCATTCTACACTACAACCATTATTCACAAAAACTTGTACAGTACTTAAAGCCAACATCTTAACCTAAATCATTCTTTTTCTGTTTTCTCCCAAAGCTTCCTCTGCAGAACTAGTGGGTCAGAACATTGACTTTTTCTTCTATAAGATCTATGTCAATATTAAGGATAACCAAGGCCGAAGCTGCCCACGACCTCATATAATTCCTCTGCAAGTTTGTCGGTGTGATAGTCGTAATTACTGCACCAGTGGGGCCACAAAAATAATTATCATTGGTGGTGGTGGCGCTGGCGGTGGTGGTGCTGGAGGTGGTGGCGCTGGCGGTGGCGGCGCTGGCGGTGGCGGCGCTGGCGGTGGTGGTGCTGGCGGTGGCGGTGCTGGCGGTGGCGGTGCTGGTGGTGGCGGTGCTGGCGGTGGCGGTGCTGGTGGTGGCAGTGCTGGCGGTGGCGGTGCTGGTGGAGGAAGCCAGGGAGGTCAAACAGGTCAAGGAACAGACCAACAGGGCAATGCTGGTGAGAGTGGTGATGAAGGAGGTGAAGTTACGGGTGATGGAAGTGAAACTGGGGGCAATTACGATGGTTATGGTGAAGGTTATGAAGGAGGTTCCTATGGAGGAACTGGTCAAGGTTATGAAGGAGGGTATGGCAGAGACTCTCAATCCTCTACAACGCTTAGTGGTGCCGCCATTGGCCTGATGTTCCTCGGTGGATTAATATTTGTTTGTAAGTATAAAATTAAGAATACTATTACAATACATTTCTAAAATATTAATATATATTTTATTCTTAAAAAAAAATACATGTTTGTTAAATTGAGACTCCCCGGGACATTTTGCAAAGTGGGAAATGTTTTTAAAAGCATTTTTTTATATTTTAAAAGAATATATATACACACTTCATTCAGAAACAATTATTTCCTTCCTAAGACTTAGAGATTTTCCAAAAGCTTTATCTTTTTAAATTTTTTACAAAATTTTTGTAAATTATGTAATTTGTAATTCTAGTTCTCATAAGAATCAATGCCAATTCATTCATGGTTGAAAGTTTAATAAAAGACTCAGAAGACTGAGCAAGAGCTGTCACTATCGACTGTACTACCTCCATATAGCAATTTGTTGTACTTCTGTTATATTACTAAAAAGAAATGGACAATTATCAACTCCAAGTTGGATACAAAAAGAAATAAAAAGAACATGAATTACTTTAAAGTCAGAGGCAAATTATCATACCAAAATAAAACTTTTTCGATTTTAAATCTTTCAGCAGTGTCTGTCAACCCTGACATCAATTAGAAATGAGTAGAGCTTGTGAGAAGAGGATCAGAACAGATCATTCATTCTCATGTCCTATTATTTATCAGAATAGATATTTCTCAGAAATAACACTTTCAGAGAAAAGAATAAGTCTGTCCAATGCTGGAACACTGACCACAACAACCAGTGGAATGTGTGTTCTCCCTTAACTTTGTTTTGTTTTGTTTTGTTTGGTCTTTGATTTATGAGGAACAGCAAAGATATGTTTTTGAAGATGCAGAAAAAAAAAATGAAGCTGCAAATTTTGAAGGTGTTTTGTTTCTTCTTCTCACTTCACTAATGTTACAGGAAAAAACATCTTTTGGACTTTATATATCTTTTCTCCCAACAGTAGCTTATAGCTTTCTTAGCCAGTTCTTAGCCAGTGTGAGGAAGCACTTTGTCAACTTTACAGCTTCCTCTTTTCTCTTGAGTTCGCCATGTTCTGGCATCCATACTTTCTCATAGGCTCTTGTAGGCAACTGTCTTTCCACAGTCTGATGCAACCAGGTTACCAAATTAGCTGTCTATCTAAGGGTATAAAGCTTGCCAGAATTATATCTCAGTTTCTTTTTAAAATGAGCAATGAATTTGATGTCAATACTTAAAATGTGCAGCAATTCCAAGAACTATTATTACTGAAACACCTAAGCATAATATAGCACATTAGGAAACCTGACTTACTTTATTTAATCATTCGTTAAAACTGTGTTTGGTGTCTGCCTCTATTGTTTTTCCCATCAGCTATCTATGATGTGAAAAATGCAGAGAGCCTAAGCAAAAAATCACCTTAGCCAAATCAAAATCTTCCCTCCAGTTCTCATAAGTTTACTATCATTAATACACATTACTTTTCATTTTACAATAAGTAAAGAAAAAAATCATGCTTATATTATCAAAATCAAATATTACTGGATGCTATATATAGTAAGACTGGTTTTGTTTGTTTCATTTCCATATATTTGCAACTTAAATTCATCCAGATGAGATAGATCAAAGTCTGTTCCCAGCTGTGTAGGCATAAATTTGTAGTAACAGACCTCATGCACCCCACTTTTGCTCTGCTATAACCAAGGGCAGAAATTATTCTAATTATCCAAATGTTTATATATCTATATATAAAAATATAGATATATATATGTATATATTTTTTTTCAAAAGCAACCAATGGTTCTGAAAAAAAGACCAATGCCTATAGGCTGCTTATTTTGAAATATTTTAAGACGCATTTTTAAAAGTTCTTAAGGACCTACTCTCTGGGAAAAAGAGCTTTTTCTGTGAAGAAGAGATGGCCTAAATTCCTACTTCCTGTTTCTTTCTTGTTAAGTGATTCCAATTTTGATGTCAATGAGCGACTGTTGTGGATGTGGACCTGGAGCTGCGGCTGGAGTTGGGACTGGATTTGAACCTGTACCTGAATGCACAGAAGGAGCAATTCATCCATGGGGAATAGAAGGAGCACAGCCTGAAGACAGGGTCAGTACATTCCATGTTTCTAAAGCACACAAACATTTATATTTACAGCATAGAATGCATCTTGACTAGAACTAAGATGATTGTAGCACTGTAACATTTCTAAAAGAAACCTGGCATTGTTTAGCTTTGCCAAGAAGATATGAAAAGTGATTTGTAATTATCATTTGAAGATATGTTTTAAGTTGCTATGCTGTTTGGCCTAACACTTTGGTGTTATTGCCCCCTGAGCTGAGACACTGTAACTAGCAAGCTTTTTCAATGAAAGATAGGACAAGATAACGCAAACCATCCTTACTGATCATTTGACAACGAAACAGACTTGGATGGAGTCTCCTTACAGAGTGGGTCATCAACAACTGCCCGGAGCAGTAGTTAGTGATTTAGTGGTAATACTGTAACAGTTCTTGCTCTTCATATGAGAATTTCAAAGTTCATTATTCAAGGAGTCAAACTATTGTTTTCCAGGATGTCTCACACATTCTTGCCCCAACAACAGCTGCTGGAGGTGAATTTGGTGAACCCTCTGGTAAGCAGACTATAAGATTTTCTTTCTTCACTATAACAAAGTTATTTTTCAGCACTTAATGATTTCTGTTTCCAAGCTAGAATTCAACCCTTCTGATCTTACTTGTGCAGATAGTCAAATTCACTTTAGTTATGCTTCCTAACATGAGTAAAGGGTCTGAATCTGGAATATGGACAGATTAATCTCTGCAAACTGCATTTATTTTGAAATATTTGCCAGGACTTTCAAATGTCAGGCAATTTTATTTTCTGGTTCCAAATGGTGAATTCAGGTTCTTTCCAAGACATCAGTTTAAGCAGAAATCAATCTCAAGGCCAGGATAATAAATTTTTCTTTCATAACTCAGTAATGAATGTTTAAGTTCTTTCCAGTTTCCAGGTTCTGCTTAACTCAAAGGAGAACTAGGAGCCAGGCAATTACTCCCTGCACCACCCAAAACAGAGAGGCGGCATACACTGCAATAAATTTATGCTGCTGATATAAGGTCCTCCCAGGAATTCAATGCCATAGAAATGGTGACAGTGCTACTTTCTCTTTTCCCCATACATTACACCACAAAAGGAATCCATTCTTACCAGAAACTGAGTCTCCGGTTGACTCATAATCCATTCTAACTCTCAGGAAGCTCTCAGGAAGAAATGGCGCATGGCAAGACAATTTCTCCAATGAATTTTGTGTTGGTACAATGGTACAAATATCTTTATCCTTAAACTAAAACAAAGATAACAAAGCACTTGGGGCATAAATGTGAATTAAGAATCTTTGTTGCTAGTAAAATTATCCAAGCATGGCAAACTGAACAGTTTACGAATGATATTTGTAATTCACTTTGTTATTTACTTCATTTCCATTTTTATCTCTACAGCTACGGCAAGAGCCTCTAGTTAAAATTATATTAGCTGTGACTAACGAGGTTAAATGAGAAAAGATGATGGAATCTGTCTTACAGTTTTTAATACAATCATGTTCAAAACTACTGAATTAATTTAATATATTACACATTGATATTTAAGACTACTTATTCTTTATTATCAAATATGAAAAATTCTGCAGAAGATAAAATCCTGAAGATATGATTTTATATTTTTTTGTAAAGAATAATTTCATTTTGCATTATAAACACTGATGGTTATTATGATCAGCTGCTGTTCCTCCAAATCCCCTGTTTTATAACAACTGGGAAAAATGAAAGGGACTACAAGGCTGTTTCTTTTGCTGTGATCATAAATACACATTTCTGTATTTTCATAAATATCTATAATCTTTTTCTGCTGTTCTTATACAAATAATCACATAATGAGACAGAGGAATTTCTCCAGCCAATTGCACAAGTAAATTACTGATTTTCTAAAGCATATATGTAAATGTATGTGTCATCTCATGCATAAAATAAATTAAATCCCCTACAAATATGCACTTAACTTGTTATAATTTCAACTTCCATGTATGAATCTGTGGTGAAAATTACAATACTTTCAGAAGCTTAGTGGGATTATTATATTATTGGTAAAAGTAACTAGAAAATTCTTTGTGACTGTCACAAAATATAGGAAGGATAACTTTTTTTTTTTGTTTTCAGAAATATATACAAACACATATGGAGGAGGAGGAGTAGTAGCATCTGGTGTTGAGGACACTACAGCAGTTGGCTATGGTACTGGTACTGGTTATGGAACAGCTGGAGGAATTTCTGGTACAGGAGAAGCAAAAGGATCAGGTGGAGGAACGATAAAAGAATATCGAGAGGGAGGGGTGAATATGGCCTTCCTAGACAACTACTTCTCTGAGGTAACTAGCTTATTTTCTTTGTATTTGCGAGCCTACTGGTAGATTCTCCTTTCTAGAATACATGGTGAAAATCCAAAGTAACTCCACTGAAATTGTAACGTACATGACATAGATTTGGTATGAGAGGTACTAATCTGAAAAAAATAATTATAATACTGAATGTATTCATAATAATACTGCTTTTAAGATAATATATTTGAAAACCAAATTTTTAGCAAGTTATAACATTATTTCAGCTTAATAAGTGACCATCAAAATTATCACCTTTTGCAGTGTATAAATGGATAATAACATTGTAAATATTTCTTACTTGAAACTGTTTGCAAATTGATCTGTCTAGAGGTTACTTAAAGAGGGACTTTAACTTTCAAGGAATTGTGAATATGTGTTCCTTTTCTTCTGCTTTATTCATTGCTCTTTATGTCTAGAAAAATAGATGAAAACTGCAAATGACACAACTATTCAGTTCTGTAATTGTCTAAATATTAACTGGCCTTTACATGTAAGATAGAAAAGATGGTATGGTATTTACATGATTAAGGGATAAATTTTCTTGATTAGTAAGAACCACAAGGCATAAATATTATAATTTCTTATGTTGTCAAAATGTCAATTAATATTTAAGGTCCACTGTATTTCAAAATCTGGAAAAAA